AGAGGGAGAGAGAGAGAGAGAGAGAGAGAGAGAGAGAGAGAGTCCGATTCGAGTGGGTATTTGCTACATTGATTGCGTATTTGCTACCGTAGCAACTACCCACTGAGTATTTGCTACGGTAGCAAATACCCACTAGTGCATATTTGCTACCATTAAGGGGTATTTGCTACGGTAGCAAATACTCAGTAGGTAGTTGAGTATTTGCAACGGTAGCAAATACTCAAACTAAATTCTAACTACTACCAAAGCGCTCAATACCTGAAAAACACACATCTACGTCGTTTTATCGTATTTATATTTTGAATAGATACTTTGTCCTCTTCTCGGTGCCCGTGCGTCCATGTTAATTGTATACGATCTACGTTTTAGTTCCTCTGAGAGTGTTATATCCTTTACGGTTGTAAACGTACTATTTAACAATAATCTTCTAGAAACATGAAAGTTTAATGAAAAGGTTGATAACGTGCACATGTCAAAGCTGTGACTCGGAGTCTTATTTTGCTCTGAAATGCTCTCCACTACACGAAAATACTCTAAACTGTTAAAGAATGTCAACTAGAGGTTAATCCTTGGAAAAGACCTGCGTGAGATGGTTTTGCACAGTTGAGAAGTATCAAGCCGGGTTAAACGTTTCAACTTTCTTCGATAACATTTGTTGATCTCACATTGTTGAGGCGTTAAGCATCCATGTTTGTCCAACATTTTTTGCTGGACGAACGTTTCATAAGTTCTCAAACGTTAGTCCTATAAAAAATGTCGGACAAGCATGTATGCTAAATGCTCTAACATTATTGACTCAACAAATCTTCTATAACAATGTTGGAACGTTTAACACGGGCCTCAGAAAAAGAATGAGGGTGTGAAAAGAACGAGCGAGTTCTCTGAAAAATTTCAAGGAGTGAAATAGTGAGAATCGTACAAGATTAGTTCGTGCCATAATAAACCGTCCGCATTGTCACGTCAAAACGCAAAGGTGGTAGATGGTTGAAGTAAAATAAGCAAATAATCTGAAACGTGACCTTCAAATCGAAGAAATCGCAATGGAGATAAACGAATTATTTCTCAAGAACAAAGACTTACAGTCACAGGTAGCGTTGCAACTAAAAAAATTCTTAAATATGTTCTAAGCAGTGTAATGCATTGTATGCTGAGCTGTTCACAACTATCAAATATTACTCAGCAGTGCGCCGTACTGTACAGACTGCACTTACAGAACATCTGAACTGAGTAACAACACTGAACTGGGAAAAAAAATCTTAAATGTTACTATATAGGGCGCTACAGTGTACAATTCAGTGTAGTATTGTTCGGTACAGTGAAGTACACTGTATAGTAAGATTAAATGTTACTATGCAGTCCTTTGCACTGTGCTCAAGAACACGATACTGAACTGTTGGAACTGCTAAATCTTACTATACAGTGGGCTGCACTGTACTGAACAACAGTACACTGAACTGTTGAAAAGTGTTACACGTTACTATGCAGTAGGCTGCACTGTACATTTGACGCCAAAACTGAAATAACTTTTCTCGTATGAAAGTAGTTCTACTTTATGGATTCTTATTTTAGCGTTAACGAATATGAAAACAAAATCACTACGAGGCGGGTAACATGTGGTTAGCCTGCAGAAAGCCAAGTATAAGTTTAAGATACATCTCGGCTCCTACTGAATTTGGATATGACGACGCTCCAATTTCAACTAAATAGCGCTCCACGGTTTTTGAAGTTGTTTTTTCAAGAAGATCGAGATATTGTTGTTCTTGTCAGTAAGCGTTTGAAATTCTAGTAGGTTTTTAGTAAAATGGTTTATCTAGTCGTTCTCGTTCATATATGTATAGTTGTAATATTCTATCGATTATGTTAAGAAATCTTTTCACAATGGGAAAGGAAATAGAAGTTCATGAAAAACGGGAAACACTATAACTGAAAGGGATATGAAGTATAATGATTACATGTAATGATATCTGACTAAGAGTTATAGGACTGGGATGTTTTCTTGAGATAATTTCAATTCTATTCTTAGATTTCAACTTGAATTTCGT